CGAGGGCGGCGGCGAGCGAGCCCGGCCCGGGGCGCCAGCGCCCTTCGCCCGGCGCGGGGGAGGGTGAGGCTGGGTGTCTGCGCGCGCTCTTCGAAAAAAGGAAAGACAAAAAGTTTTGGCGGCCAGGGGCTTCCCGGGCGTTTATCTCGAAACTCTTGCCGCCGTCTCTTGACTGAAATTTACCCAGCCCTGTACGGCTCTGTCATCCCACTTCCTCTGCGGTTTCAATCTCGAGCTGGTCTCAGCTAATTTGTTGTGACAGCTGTCAGCAGCAGTTTCTCTGCCGCCCAGCCCCCTCCCCCCGTGACATCCCCGCGGGTTCTCAGAAGCCGCGGGCACCGCCGAGAAGAGGCGCCGGGTGCGCTGGGCGCGCGGGGCGCTTTCCACTGCGGCCGCCGTTTCCTGAAAGTGACTGCGCGGGTTTTGAAGAACTTGCTCAATGCACTTTGAAGAATCAACTGTTCCTCTTTCAGCCGCGGGGCGTGCAGACCGTCCGGTGGTTACCAGCTCTCGGCCCCTGCCCCTTCTCTTTCTCTTCTCTCTTCCCTTTTCTCTTCTCTGGTCTCTCCCTTCTTGTCTCCTGTCCACCCTTCCCAGCCCCAGGCAGGAAAGAGGTAGCTTCCTTCTTTGATCTCCTCTTCTCTTTCTAGTGTCCTCCCAATTCTCTTTCCTCGGGTCTCCAGAAGGGACAGGGTGGCGGCCCGGGGAGTGGTGGGAGGAAGAGAGGGCAGAAGCGCAGGCTGGGAGCGTTCAAGGAGAGATGTTGACCTGACCGAGCGCCGCATCTCGGTCCCTCCGCGGGGTCCAGGGGCGCCGCCAGGCCGGGGTCTCGCCGCCCTCCATCGCTCGCTGGCGCGGTGGAGCTTGCCGCATGCCAGATCCCCGAGGGCTCAAGGGGTTCCGAGGTGGGTCCCGAGGCGCTGCGCTGGCCAGACCCCGCGTCCCTTTGTGGAGTCTTGAGCCGGCAGGGAGGGTTCTGCGCAGCCCAGAGGAGGATAACAGGTGCTTCTTGCCCCATCCAAGCCCCACTGTTGGGAGCCCATGTGCGTTCCCAACAGGGTCTCTTTGCCTATAGGCTATGCTGGTGCAGAGGAGGAGTGAGAGATGGTGGCTAGGGGATCCAGCTGCCAGAGCAGTGTTCCAGAGTCCATTTGGCCCTGGGGACCCGCCTGGGGTCTAGAACTTGGTGTGACAGAGGTAGAAAGGACCTCAGAGAATCAGCCCCTCCATCTTTGATTTGCATCTGAGAAACAGGCTTAGCAACCACAGTGAGTGAGAGATAGTCCTCCAAGACTCTGCCCCTCTCTCCCTTCTCCATGTCCTTCTGTTCCAGAAGGGAAACTGGCCTGGAGTGGCCCACACTCCCTCTTAGGCCTGGGTCCACAGGCTTGGAGGGCCACACTGGGTAGGGGGGATGTCCAGGAGGGGAATGGAAAAGTGGAGAGGCAGAGGAGTGCCCCATGCAGGGGCCAGGTGGCCTTTCTCTCATCCTGTTCTGTTGTGTGACATCTTGGTCAAGTCACTTAACACCTCTGAGCCTTGTTTCTCCATAGGTGGAATGGGAACATAGGAAAGTCCATAGACGGAGCTATTGCAGTTACCATCAAATATCACCCAGACTTGGTGGGAAGGTACTTGGGTTCAGCCCATCCTGGAACAGGATCTTATAGGACATGCCAGAACCGGGTAAAGAGGGACAGGGAGCCCCAGTGGAGTTTGGGAGTTGGTAGTCTCACATTCGGTGCTCCCCACACCCCCTACTTTTCTGTTCCCTCTCAAGATTCTCATCTTGGCTCCAGCTTCTCCCAGACCCTGTCCCTCTTCCCCTCTCCTTCCACCTCCCCCAGCCGGGGTACTGAGGCTGGGCTGTGGCTGGAGCTGCACCATGCGTCCTCGGGGGGTCCCATGTCCAGTTCCTCTGTCCTCAGTGCTGACAGGTCTCCCCCAACCCCAAACCCACTGGAGCAAGCTCCACGTGGAGACTGCCAGGCAGCCAGCTCCTAGGCCACGGAATGGACTGGCCGCTTCAAAGGCTGTCTTTGTTTCGGCTCCGAGCTAAGAAAGCTGAGAGAAACTTAAGCCAACAACCTCAGGCGAGGGGGTGGGGCAGTGTCTGCTAGTTGTTATTGAGGCTGCTGTTACCATTATTGTTGTAACTGACACAGTGTTCCCAGTCAGTGACTTTTCATGAAAGGAAGTGTCATTTCCTTCCCATCACACCAAGGGTGAGTGAGGTGGGGTGGGTGGGGGGGGGAGAAAGGGGTGCGCATGCTCAGCAGGCCCATCAGCTTAAGAGCTGTGCGGCCTTGAACTAGTCACAGCCCCTCTCTAGGAATCAGGGGTATCAAGTGGGCTCATCCTGCATCCACCAGGCTGATGTTTCTGGAGCACCTGCTGGGTGAGTGAGCCGGCAGGCGGGCTTCAGATCTCACTGAGGAGTGGTGCGCATGCACAGCATGCTCGGCTGCGGTTTGTGGGGGAAGCCTCCTTTCTCGCTTTCTTTTGCTTAGAACATTAGGCCCATTGAGTCGAGCAACCCATGTTATAGATGGGGAGACTGAGATATAGAAGCAGCAACTGACTCGGTAAAAGATGCACCTCTGTAGTGCAGTGCCCCCTGCCCCATCTCTCCTCCTGTCACGCTCTCATATGATTTCAGCCCATTGTCTGGTAGGGCAGGGGGCAGGCTCACAGATCCCACTGACCTCCCCACGCCCATCCCACTGCCCCATACGCACCTTCTGGCCCTGGCTAAGCCAGGAAAGACGTCTTGAGTTTGTCTTCAGTGACTCTCCTCTACTGGTCTTCCCCCGACCCTGCCACTGCCTTCACCTTCTTCCCTTTGCACAAGGCACCCCCAACCCCCTCCCCACCCCACCCCACCCCAGGTAGGCTGAGCCCTGACCAGGAGCTGGCCCCCTACTCTCATATAAGAGGTGGCACTTAAAGAAATCTCAGTAGTGTCAGCCTCAAGACTGTGTGGACAACATCCCTTATGCAAAGGTGGTGGGGCCTCTGGGGGCTCCCTGAGACCAGGGGAGTTGATTCCCAGGGACTAGAGCTTCTGCCCCTGCTGCCCACCTCTCTGAAGGTGCAGCCTTTTGACTGGTCCCCTCCCATCTGGGGGCCTAGCTGCCTTAGCAGTCAACACTGTTGACTAGCTCTAGTTAGCAGAGTAGCAGGGGTGATGTGACGGGAGACTGCAGATCCACTTGGGGAAAGTGGGCAAGTTTGCACCCTCTGAGCACAGACAAGGTACTTGGAGTCTCCCCGCTTGCATTAAAAAAACTAGATCTCAGTGTTCAGTGTCTTGGAGCAGTCAGACTGCTCTGGTTCTGAATCCCAGTTCTGCCGCTGGTAAGCTGTGTGACTTCTGGCAAATTATTGAACCTCTCTGAGCCTCAGGTATTACATCAGTTAAAAGGGGGAAACAATACCCACTGGATGGCTGGGAAGACTCAGTGAGGCAGTGTACAAGATTCCTAGCCCAAGGCTGCCCAGAGCACTGATTTGAGTTGGTGGAGCACATGGTGTGGGACAAAGGGAATGGCTTGAGAACAAGTAGACCTTAGGGAGCATCCTCTATTGGAGTGAGTGACTGAAACTAACCTCTTCATGATGTAGTTTTAGGCTCTTGGAGTTGAGCGTGACTCAGACATGAGCCACTGAGTTGAACAGAAATCAGATTTATATAGAGAAAGGGCCCTGGGCAATCCTCCAGCCCAGCACTCTGCCAAACCACTAGCTGCCTAGTGAGGGTTTGGGTCACTATGGACCCGGGCTCAGCCACCCAGCCTCCCTCAATCCTCTTCCCAGCAGTGATATGAGAAAATCACGGGTGACTTGTGGAATGAAATCCTCCTGTTGATTATTAGGGCTTTTCTAACACCATTACCCAACTGCACAAAACTTGACGAACAAACTAGGAATAAAGTCAGCAGGAAAGGCATAAGAGCTTTAACCAGCAACTTCTGAGGACTGCAGAGGGGAACCTGAACCATTGGAGACGTGGTCATGAAATGAAAGATGCAATATTATAAAGCTGTATTTAGCCCTCAAATTTAGTCAAAACCCCAGTAGTGTTTTATTTTTCTTTAAGAGTATATGACAAAATTATCCCAAAGTTCAAATGGAATATTTTAAGAAGAAGAGTAATGACAGGAGACCTGCCCTTGGAGAGTAAATTGTTTTACTAGCTACAAAAATCAAAACAGTGTGCACAGGTCCCTGCGTTCTACAAAGGATGAAACATAATAGAAAGTCCAGAAATAGTCCCAGCTGTGTTCCTTACTAGCATTGAGATTGTGGGGAAAATAGCATTTCAAATCATCAGGGGAGGGATCACTCAATCAATACTGGGACCACCCAACCATTGGGGGAAATGCGGTTAGATCCCTGTCTCGCACCTTATACTAGAATAGATTCCAGATGTGCTCAAGGTAAACAGTGAAACAGTAATCGCCATTATCATCATTACTGTTTCCTGGATGGAAAAAGTCGATGTCTGAATGACATTCTTGTGGAGAGCATATGTTTTCTTTTTTTAACTTGATGCACCTCTGCCTTGACAAATAGGACATCCGAGGCATCGTGCAGGCAGGGATCTACACACTCAAGCTTGGAGCAAGACAGCCACGCAGGGGCCAGGTCTCCTGCCTCCGTGGGCTGGGTGAGCCTCGGAGACTGGGGTTGTCATCTCCATAAGCTCCTTCTTTCCAGCCCCCCACTCGGGCTCTGCATTGGGAGGTGTGAGGGCTGGCAGCCAGGCAGGCAGGACGACTCAACCAACATCAATGGCAGTGGGTTTCAAACTTGTTTTTTGTAGCAGAACCCTTTTTACAAATGAAGATTTATCTGGAACCCTGATCTATAAATGATCGGGGAAGGGAGGATTAGGGCAGCCAGGGACAGGACAGAGCACACCCTGGAGAGGAGGAGCAGGACTCCCCTCTCCCTCATCTAAGGCTGCGGAAGCAGGGGCCCAAAGGCCTGGAGCCCAGAAGGTACTGCCAGGACAGAGGGTGCAGCCCTGGCTGGGAGAGAAGGGAGGCCGAGTTCATTTGGGGACTCGGCTGGACACGGAGAGAAAGAGTGTTTCCCTTTGTGGCTCAGGCGAGAGCTCTAATCCCTTTCCCATCTGGGGTTAAACAGCTCAGATTGGTGACCTCCTTTTCAGGTAACCCAAGTGCCCAACTCTAGGAGATTTTCCCTGAGTATGACCCACGCAGAGCTCACAAACTCTGAACTGAGCAGGAGAGACTAAGAATCCTCTGGCCTTTGGCTCTCAACCTGGCTGCCTGCTGGAGCTTTAAATCGATGCCCCATGCAGGACCTTAAATCAGACCCTGGGGGTGGGGCCAGGCATCAGTGTCTTAAAAATGCTTCTCCAGGTGAATCTAATGGACCCTGGTGCAGCCACTTTATTTTTCTGAAGTTTGAAGGGCAGTGACTTGCCGGGGTCACATAGAAAGTTTGCAAGAGAGATCCAGTGAGAAGCCCCATCACAGTGAGGAGTAGGCGGAGAGTCCTTGGATGCTGATGCTCTGAGGAGCAGGAGAGGAGGGAGGGAGGATGTGCAAGCAGAGCTGGCAGGAAGAGCCACTCCACTGACCTGGAAACTTCAGGAATTGATGGGTAGTTAGCAAAGCACTCCAGAGTCTTTCTCTCCCATCTAACAGAAGGGAAGACTGAGGCACAGAGCCACCTGAGGACTCAGTCGGAAAGGCATCAGTCTGGTGGGTCAGTTGTTAGCACCAGGATTTCTAGAGATTGGCCATGTCACGAACGGTTGGAAACCAGCCCCAGAGGGTGGCCCGAATCCCTCTCTCTTTGACAACCCTTAGGGTTGGTTTCTCTCCACACTTATTTGGATTTTTCATCAAGGCTTTGCAAAGGTTCGTGATAACCACAGCAGCCACTGGACTGCTGGTCAGACAGACCTTGTTTTGAGTCTTAGTTCCTCCGGGAAATAAACAACTTAATCTCTCTGGCTTCAGTTTCCCCCTCTTTAAAATAGGATCCCCCAAAACACAACAAAACAAAAAATGGGATCCCTCCTGGACTGAATGAAAGAACATACCTGAAAAAGCCAGGGACGCAGAGCCAAGGACCCACATGGTGTGAGCGAGAAGTTGCAGGTGTCACAGCACTCATATGAACGGCTACCAGAGGGGAGCCATTCAGTGGCCAATGATTCTAACGCCACGTGCCTCTGGGTACCGCTGGCCTTCTGGGTTGTGTTGGTGTGGGTTTATTATTTCTAAGAAGATTCTTTTTCTGTCTGGGATGGAGAGGAAATCTCACACGTTCTCAACAATAAGGATTTCCTGAGCTGGAGTGAACAGGAGTATGGGACAGTTCATACTAGATTAACAAAAAGGAAAAAGGAAAGAGAGAAAAGGTTGTGAAAAGATATCGGTTCCTGGTCTGGAATCTGCCATCCTACCATGTGGCCTGAGGTGGCTTCCGATGGCTGTGTTTTTTTGCATGGCAGAGGTGGTACGTTTTTGCAGCTATCAGCACATGGCTGCCCTTAGTAAAACAGCCTGTGGCTCCTGCCCTCCATGAAGGGTCGTCATGAGCCTCATTCATTCCAGCTGACCTGACACCTGCCATGAGGGGTGCTGGGAGGCCTCCCCTCACTATCAAGGGAGACAAGCAACAGGCAGGTCAGTCAGGATGGCTGTGAGTGGCTGAGGTGACAGGAGAGGAGCAGTTGCTTCACCAGGCTGGGGCTGGAAAAGGCACCCAGAAGAAGGGATTTGTCAGCAGAGACCAGAAGGGCACCAGGCCCCTTGCAGGTGAGAGGAGCTTGTGGCCTAGTGAGGGGCAGTGGGAACTCTGCTCAGGGGGAGGGTTAGATGTCTTACAAAGAGGCACTTATTCTCTTGATTACTGCTGGGAGAACTACTGTCCAGGCACCCCTTGTGGTGTTTTGGAGGCCACAGACACGGGAGCCTCGGCAGCTTCCCTGATTAGGTTGAGCTGCTGTGAAACTTTCTGCCTGAACATTGGGCAGGTTTTGGAGACAGGATTTCCCCAAGCACCACGGCCCAACCCCAGCCTCCTCTAACTTGGCCCCAAGATAGTTGAGGGTTTCCTTCAAAGATTTGGGGAGATGCTGCAACAGAGGAAAGAAAAGCAGCAAGTGTGGAGTGGGTGGGGCCCGCGTAGGGTGAGGGGAGAGGAGGGCCATCATGAACGTGTGTGTGCGCGTTTGCGCAGCCTGAGTGCAGCTGGGGACCCAAGCAGAGGATGTGCCGCAGAAGGCAGTTGAGGATTCCCCCTCCCCCTAGTCGATTCCCAGCTCTGCAGAATGGGGGGCCTCTTCTCGGCCATCTCTTCGTCCCTACCTCCATCTCATGTGCTTTCTCTCCCTCTCCTTCCTTTTCCTTCTCTTTCTTCCCTCTCTCCTTGCAGCACCCCCTGCCAAAGAGAAGAAGAAACAGCCAGAGGAGGGTGACCCCCTAGACCCCGCTGCATCCCCGAAGCCCACTGGTGAGCTGAGCAGGAACCACAGCCCCATCCAGCTAGAGGTGAGTTGGGCCACTCCCTGAAGGGCCTCCTCCCTGCCACCCACCCTCGGCCTGCACTCAGCCTCTAGGTGAACTTGGAGACTCCCTAAGCTCTCAGGAGGGAGGCGTAGTCCTACCCCCCATCCTGCAGAGTGGGCTGGGGCTCCACATTGGAACGTGCAAGAGCTGGGCGCCGGGCAGGCAGGGGCACTCTGCTGTCACCCGTGGCAGTGGCTTTCAAACTTAGTTTTTGTAGCAGAACCCTTTTTCCAAATGAAGATGACCTGGAATCCAGATTTGTAAAACAGACAAAAGCACTATTCTGATATAAAACTACATCTACATCCATCCATCTAGATGTATATAACATGGGCATATAGAGTCACTCAGTGAGATCAACAAGGCTGTAGGATGCACAGAGAATCTGAACGGGGGATTGTGGGTGGCACTTTTGGAGCACACTCAGCCTCAGCTTCCTTTCTTTTTGGCCATTTGCTTTGGTGGCACAGTCTGGAGAAAATATCCTGATTCATGTAGAGAAGTTGTTGCAAATGGTAGTAGTTTTAACAGCGTGCCTGGAACTCAGGGAAGAGGACCAGAGAGCAAGTGCACTTGAGGAACAGTGTGAGAGGCCCCATTCCGAGGTCTGCACAGGGCTGGCTCCCTTGTCAACAGCATGTTACGATTTCATAGGCAACACATGAGTTATGTGTTTATTATCAGAGGTCTTTGATACCATAAAAACACTCAAATAAAACTTGAATCAAATATTTTTGGAATACGTGGCTCTCTGCACTGTTCTAGGCCCAGATGGTGTGTGTCCTTCTAGTGTTTTGGGCCTCCCCAACAGGACTCAGGAGCTACCTGCTCTCTGAGCAGGAGCCTACCTTGGGCCAGGATACCGGCCCTGGGCTGTCAGCCCCAGCCCATCCACCCCCTTTGCTCTAAGCCACCAACCAGATGCACAGAATCTGCAGAAATTGTCCCTCTGGAACTGGAAACCAAAAGTCCTGTGCATCTGACATAAATGTGCCAACAGAAACCCAGAGCATGGCAGGCTGGTGGGTCAGAGGGGCAGGCCACCTCAGCAGAGGCTCGGAGCAGCTTGCAGCACTGGAAAACATCAAGCACCTTCATTCCTTCAGCTGTTGCCACAGGGCCCTAGGGATGCACAGTCTGATGGAAGAACTAAGACAGAGGTAGAACAAATCAAAAGCAAGATGAAGAAATGGTCTAGGCCTGGAGAAGGTGGGGGACTGCCCCATGACTGCTGTGGAGCCAGCTGCTCTGGGCTTCCCAACCTCTGTGGCGGTCCTGGACGCCAGCCCCTGTCCTGGGGGCCCTGGGTACTGATAGCTGACACCTACACTTGTCTGACCCAGGAACAGTCACTCTGGCCCAGAGTAGTAGGCTGCGTGCTCCTGGGGGAGCCTGGCACTGGGGGCCAGGCTCCTTATCCCTCACCGCAGCCAGTGGTTTCCACATGTCCGCAGCCACCCACCAACTGGGGCCCACCCCAATGCCTCCTGTTCTTTCCCCAGGACTCCCCCGAGGCAGGCGGGGAGCGGGAGGAGGAGCAGGAGCGGGAGGAGGAGCAGGCCTTCCTGGTCAGCCTCTACAAGTTCATGAAGGAGCGACACACACCCATCGAGAGGGTGCCCCATCTCGGCTTCAAGCAGAGTGCGTTCCTGGGGTGCAGGCAGGGAGGGGGGCCCAGCAGGGGACCCCATCCACGCAGGGCATCGGGGCGGGCACCTCTGCTCTGGGTGACCCTGGATGCTGCTGGTCTACAGGGGTTGCACAAAGAAAGGATGCCTCTCTCCACGCTCAGGGCTGGCAACGGGTGGAGCTGGATTTCCATCCTCACTGGTCCCTGGGCCACCAGTGCGCAGGCCCAGCCTGCCCATCCATCGCAGTGGCTCTGTCTGGGTGTTTTCTGGTCTGTGCCTGCCTGATGGAGCTATAGGAATGGGTTGCAGCTGTCCCTGCCCCTCATAGAGACTGACAGCTGGCTCTACCCCCCCCCCCTTCCTCCAGTTAACCTGTGGAAGATCTACAAGGCAGTGGAGAAGCTGGGGGCCTATGAGCTGGTGAGGAAAGCACCTTTGAGTCCTAGCTCTGCTGCAGCTCCCTGCACATCCCTGCTGCACCCCAGGAGGGGCTGGGGAAGGGACAAGTCTGGCAGAATTGGCCTTGCCTCCAGACAGTCCCCAAATCCTGCCCCTGCATGCCGCGGGGAGGAGGAGCCTGCCTTGCCCGCTGATGCTTTGCTGTTCAAAGCAGGTTTTCCTCCCTTCCCATCTGTTCTGCCTTCCCTGTGTCGGAAAGCTGCTTGGGCTAGCAGTCGGGTGGCTCCTGGGAGGGAGAATCAGCTGGCCTCCAGAGGAACCCTTTCTAACCTCCTGCCTCGCTGCTGAAGCAGCAGCTGCAAAACTGCAGTCCTTGCCCCCTTCCCTGTGAGTGGGGACCTGGAGCTGGGAGGACCCTCACTGGTGTCCTTGCAGGTGACCGGTCGCCGCCTCTGGAAGAATGTGTACGACGAGCTGGGGGGCAGCCCAGGCAGCACCAGTGCAGCCACGTGCACACGCCGCCACTACGAGAGGTACAGCAGGGGCAGCCGGGGTGTCCACTGTGAGCCCCTGGGTACGTGTTACCTGGGCCTTTGCCCCCCAGGGCCTTGACAGAGTGTGCAGTGGGGTCAGTAGGGGTTGTGGGTATAATAGGCCCAAGTGTCCAGGGAAGGGGCAGGGTGTGTGCCACAAGCCTGCGGAGCAGCAGGGCAGCATGGGTGCTGCATCTTCATCGTGGCCCAGAGCTGCATCCAGGGGCCCAGCCAGCCTTCAGGCCTCCCGCACAGATGAGGAAGAGCCGTGGGCTGCTGCTCAGTCAGGGAGGGAGCTGACAGGTCTGGGGCCAGCAGAGAGGACGTTTCTGGTGGTGGTGTCCACGGGACCAGAGGGGCTGAGAGGGGGCCAGGCAGAGGCCAGCGGTGTGGGGTGGGCACCCCAGCCTCCTGGTGGACGTGCCCGGCTCCTCCCCAGGCTGGTCCTCCCATATGTGCGGCACCTGAAGGGGGAGGATGACAAGCCACTGCCCCCCTCCAAGCCCAGGAAACAATATAAGATGGCCAAGGAGCCGCGGGGGGATAACGGGACCACCGAGAGGCCAAAGAAGGCCAAGGAAGAGAGGCAGATGGACCAGGTGAGCGCTGAGCCAGGCTGGGGGCTGCCCTGTCCCCTGCCTCTTGAAGCTCCCCCTCCCTGCCCTGGCAGTGGCTGCAGGTCTTCCCGCGTAGAACTCCCAGCGCCTGCTCCCAGGGCAGGACCTGTAGGGGCTCTAGGTTCTCAGTAGATGGCAGTGGGGTCTGCACTCCAGCCTGCACCCCACTCATTGGGCTCTATGTCCTGACACCAGGCTGTGTCCACTCAGAGGATGGGGCACCTTTTGACAGTTTTGCACAAAGGCACTGCAAGGGCTAGCAGCAGCCCCTGGGGATCCCCTGAGACCCTGCTGCCTCCGAGGCCCCAGGTCAGGATGCTTGACTCAGACCATGGCTTTTTCTCATTCTAGATTGTGCCAGGAAAGACCAAAACAGATGCCACTGAGCCAGCACAGCCTCCCAGCCAGGAGTCCCCCAGGAACAGTACAGAACAGTTGGGCCCAGCCTCTGGGCCCTCTCTGCCCTTCATGGGTACAAGTGGCTGCCCTGAGGCCTACAAACGGCTCCTGTCCAGCTTCTACTGCAAAGGGACACATGGCATCATGTCACCACTGGCCAAAAAGAAGCTCCTGGCCCAGGTGAGCAAGGCAGGGGCCTTACAGTGCCAGGAGGAGGGCTGTCGCCATGGCGAGGGCAGCCCAGATGGGGAGCCCCAGGCGTCCTCGGCTGTTCGCCCCCCAGAGAGTCCCCGGAGCCCAGGAGGGCCGGCTGAGAACTCCAGGCAGCGGCTGACCCCTCAGGAAGGATTGCAGGCCCCTGGCGGCAGCCTCAGGGAGGAGGCTCAGGCGGTCCCCTGCCCAGCAGCCCCCATCTTCACGGGCTATTTCCACACCTGCCCCACCAAGGTGCTGAAGCCTGTCAGCCAGCACCCCCGGGACTTCTTCTCCAGTCTTAAAGATGGAGTGCCACTGGGGCCTCCTTGCAAAGAGGGGCTGTCAGTCAAAGAGCCCCAGCTAGTGTGGGGCGGGGATGCCAACCGCCCCTCTGCATTCCACAAAGGCGGCTCCAGAAAAGGTGGCCTCTATCCCAAGCCCAAAGCCTGCTGGGTGTCTCCCATGGCCAAGGTCCCTGCCGAGAGCCCCGTGCCCCAGCCCACCTTCCCCAGCAGCCCAGGCCTCAGCCAAAAGCGCAGCCTGGAAGAAGAGGGCTTTGCTGGTGGCAAAAGACTGCGGGCAGTGTCTCCCTATCTTAAGGAGGTGGATGCCAAGGAGTGTGGGGCCAAACCCACTGGGGGGCCTCGCTTGGCTGTCTCCTGCCTGCTGGGCCCAGGTCTGGGGCCTGCCCCCCCAGAGGCCTACAGGGGCACCATGCTGCGCTGCCCTCTGAACTTCGCCAGCAACCCGGACCCCTTAAAGGGCCAGGTTGCGCTCCCCTTCAGCCCCCTGGTCATCCCGGCCCTCCCAGCCCATTTCCTGGCCACTACAGGCCCCTCACCCATAGCCACCAGCCTGATGCACATCCCTCCATCCTTTGATGGTACCCTCCGCCACAGACTTGGCCCAGCACCATCTGCCTGGCATGTACCCCCCATCACAACCTATACAGCACCCCACTTCTTCCACCTCAACACTGAGCTTTAGGTCAGAGCCTGTGGTGCTGTACTGCACTGCAGAGGGTCTGATGTGGCCAGAGATAGGGAGGCGCTTCAGGGGCTCTGGACTGGAGCCCACTACCCAGGCCCCTGGCCGGGCAGCCTGGCACAAAGAGGGAGGAAGCAGGTAAACTGGGTTTGTCTCTCACGGGAGCAGCCCAAGCCCAGGGACTGGGGACCTAGTTGTCCCAAGGCCTTGGGAGAGAATGGTGCAGGGTCAGCAGGAGCAGCCAGAGCAGAGGCCGGGAGCCGGGTGAGGATCAGAGGATGGCAGCTGGCGGAAAATCCAATAAAGACACCAGTGTGAATCCACCTAGCCCTGAGGTGTTCAGGCAAGCTTGTGGGTGGGGCCGCCAGTGGGAGCCAAGGAGACAGAGCTGGACAGTGCTGCCTCACGGAAGAGCAGGCCCCAAGCAGAGCTCTGGTTCATGTTCCATCAGGCTTTGACATTCATCCTGTGCCTTCAGTCCACCTTCCTAGGTGAGCCTCGGGACGGCTACCTGTTGCCTTCCTCTGTGCAGATGGGGATCCACAATGCACCAAGGTCCCCCTGCAGGCGAGTAGCAGGGCAGGGCTGTGCAGGCACTGGGAGTCCAGGCTGTGAGCTGGGGGTTGAGGATGGGAGCAGGAAGACCGAGTTGGTCAGCCCCAGCGGTGGACGCAGACTTATGGGGCCTGCTGCTGAATCCTCTCGGTGACCACCACCACAGCACCCCCACTTGCTTGCCCCAAACGAACAGGACAGGCCTGGAAGGGAAAGAGGAGCGTAGGGGCTAGTCTCAACCTGGGCATCTGAATTGTTAAACTCCAGCAGGTTTGGGATGTGGGTGTGCCAGGAGGCTCATGCAGGAACTCTGCAGCCTGATGCCCTCCTTCCTGCAGGCTCTGGGTGGGGAGTAAGGGCCCCATCTCAGGAGGAGGGAGGGACGGAGAGCCCCTCTCAGAGGTGTCACTCCCCTCCCCTAACAGGCAGCCTGTTCTCAGAACAGCTTCACACATTTTCATGGAGAGACGGTGCCACTATTTGCCAAGCAGATGCTGGGGTGGCAGATGTGGGGCCAGGTCAGAGGGCGGCCTTTGACCTGCACCACTGGAACTTGCTCTGTTGTCTGGCGCTGGGTCTGCAGGGATGATTGCTACCTTAGGGTGTAGGAGGGGCAACCAAGTGTGACCCCATTAGTTCATAGGTGGAGAAGTCAAGGCTAGGGATAGAAGAGGTCTTGCTTGCCCAGGGCCACCATCAAGGATGACAACCCAGGCCAGGGCACATGCAACATCCTGGCACCAAGGAGTGGGCGGCCAAGGTGGTAAGGCCATCCTGTCTTCCTCTGCCTCCGGGGGCTGCCTGCCTGTGGAGGGGAGCTCAGGTACAGGTGCCCTCCAAGTGAGGCCAGCAAGGGATAGCGAGAGGTGGCAGTCACTGCTGCGGCAAGAGGACTCGGGCTTTGCAGGGGCATCTCCCAATTCCCCACCTCCATCCTAGGAGACGCCAAGATGCCAGCCCGAGTATCTGTGTGACCAGCTCTGAGCTCCCAGCTCCCACACGCATCCACACGCTGCCTCCCCTCCTAGCCTCTGGGGGCTGAGTGTTTGACAAAGAAGGGGGAGGGAACTGAGTTCTGCCCACCCTCCAAGCAAATGCCCTGGGTGCTGGGCCGTAGATCATTGGGTCATATCCCCCAGATAAGGAGAAGTTGAGGCTACCTGGTGCATGCAGAGTCCTGCCTGAGATGGGGCAGAGTTGCTGGGGTCCCCTTCATCTGCAAAGCAACATCGGCCTTACAAAGGTGGGCAGATGGCATGGCAACAGGACTCGGGCATAGAAGGCTCAGCGCCGTGATGGTGGCGCCCTCTGGAGGCTGGTCTGGAGCATACACCTCGCTTGGCTGTCTGAGTCCTGAACAGTTGGGCAGCCTGACAGGATGCTGGGGCCCCTACTTAGGCGCAGAAGACACTAGAGCCAAATGCAGGTCGCGCTGCCCGCAAAACCTCTGGGGCCCTGATCTCTGCAGCTCCAGCGTGCTAGCTCTACACAATTCTTCACTCCTCACAATTCCTGGAGTAAGGTACTTTCCCCATTTACAAACCAGGAAACAATTCACAGAGATGATGTAGCTCCGAGGGCCAGCACTTGGCAGTGCTCCTTATGTAGGCAGGTGTGCCCCAGGCCGCCTTGCTCTTCATAAGCCCTTTGCTGAGGTCCTGACAATCCCTAACATGCTTCCCTGGGGACTCACAGACCACCAGGGCTGACAGCACCTATGTTTGGGCCATGTCATGTTTCAGGGCCATTTTGAGGACCCAACACCATCTGTGGTGTTGGAGCTATTGATGGTGGCAGAGAGTGGAGGCCACTCTGCTCGGGCACCCACGAGTCCAGCCCCTTTACCTGGTGACAGTTTGAGTGTAAGGCCATGTGTCAGGTCTTCAACAGATGCTCACTGAGCATCTGTTAGTGCATCCCCGGTGCTGGGATACATCTGTGAACAGAACGTTTGAGTCCTTGCCTTCAGGGAGCTGGTATGCTGTGCACCTGGGGACGCAGAAAACAAATGGGTGGAATACAGGGCGTGTCTGGAGAAGGTGAGTGCCGTGGAGAAAAGTAGGGCTGGGAAGGAAAGCAGCGGGCTGGGAGTGGGTGTACAGTTTTGTTGTGGTGGTTAAAATCTAATACAACACGGGCCGGCCCGTGGCTCACTCGGGAGAGTGAGGTGCTGATAACACCAAGGCCCCAGGTTCGGATCCCATATAGGGATGGCCAGTTACATTGGGGCTTGAATACTTGAATTAGGGGGACATAAACATTCAGCTAATAGCAGAACATATACCATATGACAATCTTCAATATAAAATTACCAACTATCTTCCCACTGTAATATAAAAGAGAAAAATTAAAAAGAAAAAGGTAAAATGAAAAACTCTAGCACTTTTTGTAGAATTAACTGAAAGCATTAGCTTTACTGCTACTTATTAGCTACCAGGTACTGTCCTAAGCACTAAATATACATCACTGACAATCTGTACAACACCATGAACAGGTATATACTATTATCATCAACTCCATTTACATATGGGGAATTCAAGGTTAAGTAATTTGCTCAGAGTTGTGCTGCTAGCAAATGAGGGATGCTGGGAGGCTAGCTACAGAGTGGTTAGAACTCTAACCACTTCACTCTTCTGTCTTTCTAGCAACTCCTCCAACTTAGCATCTAGTAGAAGAGAGAAAACTCCACAGAACATTGTGCTAAAAGCTCCCTTATAGAATTGTCACTGATGCCTGAAATTCTATCACTAGCTTCGTTCCTTTAGATTAAGGAATGGTCTCCTATTAAAAGTTAATACAGGGCCGGCCTGTGGCTCACTCAGGAGAGTGCGGTGCTGATAACACCAAGGCCCCGGGTTCGGATCCCATATAGGGATGTCCGGTTCGCTCACTGGCTGAGCGTGGTGCTGACAACACCAAGTCAAGGGTTAAGATCCCCTTACCGGTCATCTTTAAAAAAAAAAAAAGAAAGTTAATACAAATATAAATCTGAAACACAAGAAGCCACTACCAATCATGAAATCTTACAGTACTGTTCTCCTCCCAGGTTTGTGAGAAATCCCCTAAGGGGACCATTCTCGACCCATCCCTGTAGTGATCAATTACAGGAGAACCACCCCTGTAGTGAGATACTATGAGCCATCTCCAGGTCAATCAGGGGTAAAAATTAAAATTAAAATATCTTTCACTCGGGCCGGCCCGTGGCTCACTCGGGAGAGTGAGGTGCTGATAACACCAAGGCCCCAGGTTCGGATCCCATATAGGGATGGCCAGTTAGCTTGCTGGCTGAGTGTGGTGCTGACAACACCAAGTCAAGGGTTAAGATCCCCTTACCGGTCATCTTTAAAAAAAAAAAAAATCTAACATAACACAAAATTTGCCATTTTAGCCACTTTTGAGTATACAATTTAGTGGAATTCAATGTACATTCACAACATCAGGCAACCGCCACCACTACCCATTTCCAGGTGCAGTTTTTTTTTAGAGTGACCAGAGAGGGCCTCACTAGAAGGTGGTGTTTGAGCAATGGCTGGAGGAGGTGACTGGGGAGCCATGTGGAGGAAAAGCGAAGGGAACAGTGAGGATCAAGTCCCCAACATGGGAGCAGGCGAGAGTGTCCGAGGAGCTAGAAGGCCCATGAGGTTGGAGCAGAGTGAGCGAGGGGGAGAGACGTGGGTTCAAGAGGTGGCTCGGGCCATGTGTATGGAGCCTTTGAGGCTGCTGGATCAGTCAGGCTTTTACCAGAAACAAGATGTACACAGAGGAGTGTCCTGCTCTCCAGGTTTAACAAGAGCCCCATGGCTTCTGGGTGGGACTGGATGCTCTGGGGCGGGGCAAGGGCAGAGCAGGAAGCTCATTCACGGAGATGGAGGAAAGCAGCATATCTGGGTGCAGATCCAGGGTGGCCATACCTGACCAGTGCTTCTGTTTTTCAGTGAGCGGAGAGTGAGGGTGGGGACTGGGGTTGGAGGTTTGAGGTGGAGGGAGAAGGAGGAACTAGTGATCTCACAGTGGAGCAAGGCCACACCAGGGCAGCGCCCTCAGGTATCTGGAAAGCACCAGGTTCTGCTTGAGGTCAGTGGCCTGAGTTTCAGCGAGACCAGGCAGCCAGCTGGGTGCAGACTCAGTAGGGGAAAGCTGCAGAGTCTGCTGAAGCAGAAGGGGACAGGGAGCTGAGGCTGGTGCGGGGAGTACCACAATGGAGGGCCAAGGAATCAAAGCTGGGTGAGGAGGAGCTGACAGGTGGTGAGGCTGATGGACCACAGGTGGCAGTGGGCTCCAAGAACCCCAGGATGTGGGCCGGCGAGAGAAGAGGGCTGGCTGGAATTACTGCAGTTATTGGGTGCATCCACGGGAGCGGGTGCCAAGTTAGGGTGGGAAAGATACCCTTGGAGGAGAGACCAGTGAATGGAGAAGTCAGGACTTGGGAAGCCCTGAAATCACAAACTCGGACAGCAGTGGTGCTGGGCAAGCACCAGTGGGCCAGGGCTAGGTTGACAAGGGTTGGGGAGGGGGACTCCAGGGTCCACAGCAAGGACACAATGCAGGGGGCGTAGTCTCAAAGCAGGCATTAACAGGGTCTGGCAGCAAAGTGGA